TAAATGAATCCGTTTACGGTTTGTACCATTTCTTACTATCCAGACTACTAATTGCTTACAGCTTTTGATGTTTACTTCCACATGAGCTGTGCTTCCTCATTTAACTTGCGCATTTGCTTTGGCGCCGAAATCTCCGTTGCATAACATGACTCATTCAACCACCCACATAAGAACACTCCTCTACCATAACCCACATAGTTGTCGGATCCAGGTATTCTCTATCATTCTTTCGTGGCTACGTCGTTTACCTGCGTCTGCTCTGTGCAAGTCCACCTCAGAAACAAGTAGGAGGCAGAGTATTTTGAAATGACATTATAAACAGAAAAGTTCTTACACCTGAGACAATTTGCTGTCGCATACCAATTCCATTCGACTTAGACTCCTGCACGGGGAACACTTCCGCGACGTGGAATAGCAAGGTTTCCCACGCTCGTTTGAGTTCGGCGGTGTTTAGTACAAACCATAGACGATATAGTATCATCAATGAACTTCTTATCACGATTTACGGCGTAATGAGCATATCCCTCATATGACAGGCGTGAACAGACTCTCTACTCGTCAATCACAATCACACTCCCCTTCGTTATCCATTTAGTTATTATCGACCTGAGGGCTTGCCAAGTTCTGTTGTTGACTTGTTCGACGACTCCTTTCTTCTGCTTCGAATCCCATATTTCGAGCATCCAGAAATGTCTTTCTAAACAGAAATTTACACTTCCAACTTTTCTTCAGCAGTCCTTGGCCTTGCTACTACTGCGTCAGATTATTAGAACGCAGAACTTTTATTATTTCATCACTCTCCCTCGGTTTATCTTAGTGAGGTCGCCGACGTTCTACTGTTACTTCAGTCGACGGTCTGCCCTCAAAAACTGAATCCGTTTACGGTTTCTAGCCATTTCCTACTATTCAAACTACTAACTGCCGACAGATTTTAGTGTTTACATCCACATGGACTAGGTGATTTACCGTGTTTCCTCAATTTTCGCTCATCAAGTAGGAACCTGATTTCAAGTTAGTAAAGCAACGATGGTTTATTCGGCTGCCGGGAACTCACTGAGTACATTTTTTTCTTTTGTGCGCATACGTACGACTTAGTTTCTAGGCGCATTAGAAGGTCCTCGATGTAAATTTGTTTTTCTTATCACTTTTACTTCCCTGGATTACGTTTTTCGTGCGTCCGAAAGCCCGACCCCCATAACTCCCATTAACCCCATTCCTATCAGACAGGCTCCCCGGTCCATATGTTGCTGGCCCCGGGTACAAACCATACCCTCGTCAAATTGGCCGCAATGTAAAGAAAAATGCATGTTCATACTTCTGAGGTGTACAAATATCAGCATTTTTAGCAACGTGAAAGAAATGGTCAAGAGTGTCGAATTTTTCTTGGTAACGCCGTGCAAATATATCAAACACACAGACATTCGTCGACGGAGTGAGTGCAATGATAGGTTGTGTAACCCCACTAGGTTTAGTGTATACCAAAGTACTTTACTCATTTTTTATTTATTTATCAGTTCATAGCTATAGCAAGTCACCCATTAAATTTTACCTAGCACACTGGCATAGTCACAAGCACAGAGCTTTTTCCAAAAGGGCACATCTGGCTTCAACTTATATTTCTTGGGATGTCATACTTCCAACACTACTTAATTTATGTAGTCAAAGCGTAACCGCAAACCTTTAAGTAGACAAAGCGTCCCCGAATCCTTGATCGATGAGCATTCGTCGCGAATGATTGTAGATGGCGCTATACTATCTTGAAACATCCGCTCTGAATAACCGTACCATATTGACAACCCGGAGCATAGAATTCACCATACAAATAACAAGATTCTTCCTTTAAAAGGCAATTTGACGGGGATACGTCTGCATTCGATAAGTTCTCTTCAGGCCTGTACATTTATATGGCTATTGAAATAGTGAATTAAAAGATACGTGCAAGTGGGTAATTAAGCTGTAGCTCGGGTTTTGGGAGCGGAGGGGAGGCGAGGGGGAGAGTGAAAAATCACAATTCCAGTCGGCGTCAGGGAGTAGGTGGTTCCCGGCGAAGGTAATTACATGCGGGTGGTTGGCTTGGTGGTTTTGAGACATGGCAACTGTGGGACCTGTATGAAGTTCTTCTGTGCGCATAGGCCTGGTCCGCGTAGTCTGATTGCTGCCGCCCCTGCCGTAACCAACAAGCGCTGCTCAAGTAGTTTTGGGTTGCTCGACAGGACATTGTAAATCAATCTGAAGGCCCCTCTCGCCCCGATACAATGGTCTGTGTCTACCATGGGCGCGAGAAACGATCTGTTGATGTTCTTCATTTGACCCTTATCTAACCATGCTGGAAGATGTTCTTTTATTCTTTTGGATAAACGCCGGCTCGTGCCAACCAATATGTTGTGACCCACAGGAGCAGGTGAAGGAGTAAATACACATAGAGGTGGTCTGTGCTAGTAGTTTATCCTTGTCCTCTCCGTATAGGATGGAACTAGTGGAGAACAGTACACGGGTGTCAGCTGCTGGAAAGGTCTGTAATACAGCTTGAGTTAGGCGTCTTCTTAAAAGTTCACTTGGTGCATCCCCTTGAAATTGGGACCCTCATGAAGAGCCTTTTGTTTCCTGCCGTCAGTATCGGGGGGCTTTCGTGATCTTTCGGCCATATTCTTAGCAACGATTCGATCAGGACAACCGTTCTGGCGAAAAAGGCTTTCGATGGTTTTAAGCTCTTTCTCGAGGCTATCAGCTGAGCAGATTCATCTCACACCTTCTGTCAAACAGTGGACAATTTTAGGTTTAAGCCTTAGCGGTACAAAACTCCGAAAATGGGTGTAATGTCCGGACCACGTTTTCTTACGATAGACTCTAAGTCGAATGCTGCCGTCAGGTCTTCTACTCAGAAGCATATCCAGATGGAGAAGTGAACCGAACTGTTCTTCTTCCAGAGTAAATTTTATTGATGGGTGCGCCTGATTTATTTTATCCAGCAGAATTGTGATGTCACTATGTTTCGGTGTAATTGCGAATATATCATTCACGTACCGCCCATACTATCTTAAACCGTTGATCCGGTGACGTAACTGGAAATCTTCTAACTTTCCTAAGAATATATTCGACAAATTCGGGCCAAGGGACGAGCCCATAGCTAAGCCGTCGATCTGCTTATATAGATTGTGGTCGAATAGGAACTGCACGTTCAAGGTACACCTTAATAAAAATTCATTGATGACATTCACTGGCATTCCCATATCCTGTTGATTGTCGGCAAAGAAATCACAAAGGTAGTTGACCGTTTCCATTGCCAGTACGTTCGTAAAAAGGGATGAGACATTTAACGAAAACATGACCATTTCATTCAGATCGAGGGCATTCTGAACTTTTCCTGATCCGACAGAATTGACTGTATTTTTGTAATATAGTCTACCCTGTCCATCAAAACAACGCCAGTTCCCTTATCTGGCCTAGTTATCAGAGCGTTTTTTGTTCAGTCGGAGTTGCTTTAACTTCTCAACGTGTGACTCCGTCAGCATACCTCGATATTTCTGACGAATGTTCAGGTATTGATAAGAGCGTTTGAATAACGTAAAAGTAAGATTTTGTTTGCTCTCTGTCGAAGCTGGCTGAAGGTCATGTGTTTGATTTAAGAGGTTCTCGAACTGTGTTACCAACGCTAGCTGGTTGGGTTTCTGGCGAGGACAGCAAAAGTTGGAACCCAACGATAAGGCTCCAATCGACGTTTTATGCTGGCTTCCATGTCAATGAGCCGTAGTTTAAATGCATAACCTACTATTACTGATTCAGTAGAAATAATTTATACTTTAAGTAACATGTTCGCTGCTTATTGGGAGACAGTGGTGAAGCCAGCCAGTTTGATTTACCATGCTTTGAGAGGATAGGCCGTAGTTTGTGCTCGCAAGCGAACCTAGTCGTGATCCATACTTCGGCCGATTAATCTGTGAAGACCTACATCGAGTCTGGCAGAACACAGAGCAATGCTGGGGGTGGGAGGGGGGTGGGGACAAAAAATGCATCTAATCGATCACAGCATAAAGGTTGTGGTCGCCCAGCCAAGTTCCATGCCGGCCATCAAGAAATTAGCGCACCAGCGGACAACAATCCTTGATGAAGGGAGCACGGTTAATTGCTGTAGGTATGCGGCAGCATGGCGACCGCATCCTATAAATACCGCGACTTCCTGTACACAAGCCACCCTTTTCTGCAGCTGTCTCTGATGATGAATTCAAGAGAGAATCCCAAACGTCAGGCGAATAAAGCCATTGTTCCAGCGATCGCTTCTTTTTCTGATCTACTAGTTCCTGAAACTCGCATCTTCGCTAGTATCAGCACTAAAACTGTCGTATACTCGACGAGACTCACAGCATGTTGGCGTAGGACGGTAACTTTCATGGGATTTGTTTTACAGTGGTATGGGACATGCACAGCATCTTCCGCACACTCACCTCCTCCTCACCCCACCTGCGTCGCGTGTCTTAAACACATTAGACAGTCCGGAGATGTTAGAGACCGCAGGCGGCTAGCGCGGTCGCAAATGTCCCTAGGCGTGCCAACAAACGCCCAGATCCACAAAATAAACTTGACCAGGATCTTATACAACAAAACAAATGGAGGGCGTGTCGGCTCCCACGAAATGTGGGTAGGACAAAAGGAGGAGACAATGCAGCATGATTCTCAGTCCGCATTTCCACACAAACGCATGCTGGACTGACTGCCAGACCCTAGTTATCGCGCCAGTCGGCAAAATTCCAAGACACGACTTTCACCGTGCACCGTGATAGCTTTAACCACTCCGAATTGTCTATGTTAGGCATTGTGCGACGCCCTTTGCTTACCCAGTACTATAGAAAATCTAATGCAAAGAACAACCTGAAAAATTTTATTTCCCAAATTGATGCACAAAATGGGAGTTCACAGGACTTGTTTTTACTCAGTTTCCCGAGAAATTGCATCACAGGGGGTCATGTGCGTTTTGAAGTAGGTAACTCCCAGTCTGCCCTCTACTACTTTTTCTTCCAAACCAGGACTTCATAGTCGTCAACAGAGTGTTCAGCATCCCCGTAAGGCATATAGGCGCAGGAGTGTCCGGCGTGAACCTAAAAGGCGGCAACAGAGATGTGAAGATATATTACCAGGCGTATTTTGCAATAAAAGCAGTATAAAATGCGTGTGCTATCCGAAAATGCACTAGGTGAAAATGACCAAACGCCATTGGTCTACCACAAGCTACTCGTCGTCGACATGCACAAAATAACTGTGACTTGGGCGTGACGATCTCTGCGCTGAACATGTCCGTCAGGGCAGAAGCACACACTCCGCGTGCGCTAGTCAGTCGTGGGCCAGTCTCAATCGAATTTGAGCTGCTACAATCCACGACATCTTTTGTCTTAAAATCTAAATAAACTAATGCTTGCGGTCTCTGATCTGGCTGGAAGTTCAGGTAAAAGATCAACCTAATGGATCAGAATTGGTAAATTTCGTGGGCGTAGTTCATTCCCGAGAGTGACGTTTTCGGGTACTCGGAAAATTGTCGTCTTTCAACCAACTGATTTTACTCTGTACACCGAAACCCCAATGCTAATATATAAATTCCTTGATTGCTATGACGTCTTTGCAACAATGAACTGATGTAAGTAGTAAGAATAATCGAAGTAACATCCTCTGACACAAGGACGAAGTATCGTTTATCAGTTTACCAGTGTTTAATGTAAATTAAATCTAAGATTTCATTAATCAATGTTAGGGGGCGCTCACCGATCGTTCATACGGAACTCACTCGTTCCGTTGTGCCTTATGGACTCTCTCTCTCGAGCCCAACCAGCAGCCGCACAGCGGCGCATGATATATAGGCAGAATAGTATTACCGACAAAGACAAGGGAGACTGGAATGGCCATTTCTGGCTTATTAGCCGTCGTCAGCCAGCCATACCCAAGCCCGAAGTGTGGAACACCCGAGCCTCGAACTCGCGACCTGTTGGTTTAGAAGTCAACGCCTCTACTCACCGGGCCACGAGCCCGTTGCCTTGTCGGAGCTAATAAGCCAGAAATGGCCATTCCAGTCTCCCTTGTCTTTGTCGGTAATACTATTCTGCCTATATATCATGCGCCGCTGTGCGGCTGCTGGTTGGGCTCGAGAGAGAGAGTCCATAAGGCACAACGGAACGAGTGAGTTCCGTATGAACGATCGGTGAGCGCCCCCTAACATTGTATATTCCCGATCGAAAACCGACAGGGCAACGGGCTCGTGGCCCGGTGAGTAGAGGCGTTGACTTCTAAACCAACAGGTCGCGAGTTCGAGGCTCGGGTGTTCCACACTTCGGGCTTGGGTATGGCTGGCTGACGACGGCTAATAAGCCAGAAATGGCCATTCCAGTCTCCCTTGTCTTTGTCGGTAATACTATTCTGCCTATTTCATTAATCGCTATAAACTAGCTGATCAATCGAGCAAACTCCAGACAAAGATGCAAAATCTAGTTTTAAATAAACTTCCGAAAACCAAAAACAAAGACTGGTTGCAGGTCAACGATTGGGCTGACTGCCCTGCTCTCAGAAGGCCAGAGTGAACAATATTCAACTCACCTTGCCTGCAGCTATCTCATTTGCTACAGCGGCCTTGGCGATATAGAGCGGTTGATCATCAGACGCCATGCCCGCCACAATGGCCCTCTTCGGTACCTCGCCTCCACTGGCCGACACCCATTCGTAACTGGTTGAGCAAAGAGGGGCATAGTGAAAAACTTCAGCGTCAGTTCGGACTGTGTATTCAGGGAATGTTGTACAAGGAAATAATTAGAAAATATCCCCTCATCACCACAAGCATAGTAGATGATGTGCCCGAAGCAGTGACAGAGTCTGGGGGTTGGGAACTGACAAGAGCTGCCAGTAATAGCTTGTCATCAAAAACTGATCATGCCAGCCTTCAACGATTTTCGAATCAGATTGGTATTGTCAATGAAACGAGTCCTGTCGAAATTTGAATAAATTCTGGTGGGATTATTTGGAAGAAAATATGGTCTGTCTGGCGAATCAGTCTCTTGATTGCCAATACCTCACCCGGTTTACCAAAGTCCACGGGCTAGACTGCAACTTGGGTAGCGTTAGGACGCTGCTGGAGCAAAAACCATCCTATCGTGAAGTCACATACAAAGTGTATACGTGGTCATTACTTTGGTTGAACAGCTGTCTTTACTAGCATTTCAACAGCCTATGCAGTACACGAAATATTGCAGAGTATAATACCAATCTTGCCTTCCTGACTCCAAGTTGTCGACTCTTATACACACTGGCTTTTCCAACAGTGATTGTATTTAAATGAAATGTGAGTCAGCACTTGATCGCAAATTATCTAGAAGCAAAGGGAGTGGTGCTCGGTAGTTCTGCTTACCAGCAACCTTGTCCGGGACAGCTAGTGTCACAGAGTACTTCACAGTCCCTCTCATGGTGTTCCGCGCCACCGTACGGGATGTAGGCGAGCGCAAGTCGAGGAATGTACTTTCCGGGGATTTGTTCACCATCATGCCAGGCACGACAGACGTAGATGCCGGACTGTACCTCAATAGCACCGTCTGGAAGACCACCGGGTTTCGTCTTCACCCATGACAGACAAATCTGCACACCTCTGCCTACTTTGGCCATGATTAATTCTGAATGCGGGATGTGTAGGGTAAAATGAGCACATACTGCATTGCGTGCAGTCAGTAGAGGAGGAGAACAAAAGACGAAAAATCAACTCACGAGCTCCGGAATACCAGCACAAGCACCAGTACAGTTGAGGCTGCCACATCAACCAATGCTACTTATAGGGCTTCGCCGAACCACAGATTGTTGTGCCCATCCGAGATGCCAGTCAGATTCCGGTAGGTTGTCATCGCATGGCGCAATCGTGCAAAAAACAGGTGACGCCAGGTTGAAACAACCAAAACAGTGTGGGGATCATTGCGCCGACTTTTACTGCGTGGCTGGCAAAACACGGCGGACTCCTTGCTCTTCCATAGAGACTCTGCAGACTGCATACACTGCATGGCGAAATATTCCGTCCTCTGCCTCCACACGGCTGACGGTTAACGCGGGCAAAAGTGCTGTCGGGTCTGTTTATTCGTGAATGAGTTGTTTTTCTTTTAAGTTTTGCAATTGCCAACGCGTTGTTGCCTCTCACGCGTAGGAACACTCCTGAGCAGTGACTTATTTAAGAAAAAAAAATCGAAGGCTCATTGCCTAGCCAGGCAAGAAGAAAAAGACATTTTGCCTATTAGGCCTTGAATTACGGGCAAGCGTTTTGAACAAGTAGAATACGTTGTAGTACTGGTCGTGGTCCACATAGCGATTCATTTTGATGGGCTGGGCTATTGGACATCGTTGTTGCCCAACTCATCGACATGTATAAGACTATCGCCAATTTCCCGATGCTGATTGGATGAGCTGACGTGGACGGGCTGCTAAGGGTGGACACATTGCTACTGGGGAACCAATAAATTTTCAGCGACGATTGAATGCCGAGGCTTTAATTTAGAATCGGCTTTCCTTGCTATTTGGGGGGTGGAGGGGGGAGGGGGGGGGACACATTGCGAAGGTCAAGCTGGGATAACCCATTGAGGATATGGCCCCGGGTTGTCTATTTCAGATCATCATTAGAGAAGGCGCGCAAAATACCAGTGTTAGTGGAAGAAATTTATTGGCCTGACGTTTGAGATTCCCACTCGAACCCATCATCAGAGACAGTCTGTCTGTAGGTATATCTGTTTGTTTACCCGACACATATCTGTCTTGACCTTGTGTTCCACCACTAATGATGGTTCTTAACCAACCGGTTTCAAAATATTTCACCCATAAACCTAAGTCAAAGACTACATTTATAGTGACTGTGCCGCACAGGACGTAACAAGGCATAGTTGCTGAGGCCGATGAGGATAAGTGATGAACCATGCGTGTTTATCCAAAATGCCATGGGTCTTTCAGAAAACTTCTTAGCTCCGTGTTGGTAACGCACCTGAGATTAGTCTTGCTTTGTACGGTAACTGCTGAATAGTTTCGCCCAAACCATACACTTTCATTTCGTTCGGGAAGCGTACGGTGTAGTAAACTGAATGTTACTCTTTAAGGCTGCGTAACGCATTTTTGTCAGCTCTCACTCAATGACAGACCAAGTCAACTTATGCGCTCGAAGAAGACGTGAAAACGAAGTCTGACAAGGACCGCACAGCAAAATACTTATAATAAAATGTCATTATATGGAGACCAGCGTATGCAGGTCATAAATCCAGATATTTTAATGCGGTTCGTCGCTTACACACAGTACTGGCGCAGACAAGTGGTGCGCTGGGGCGAGGAGCGGCGAGCTCAGAGACCCGGCATCAATTTTGTGTGTGGTTTTCCATCAGATGCTTGATACCAATGGGCCTACCGTCGCCGTCACCGCGTCCAATGTCCGCAACCTCTCGGGTTTTATTCTTTTGTTCAAATATTTTCTGCCTACAGATAAACACTTCAAACGCACATGCTCATTTCCGAGGAAAGGCTGGTGTCTCGTGCTCCAGATGAATGCAGATGATATTGGGTGCGTACGCTCGATGATTTATGGAAGGCATTTGATCTCGGTTATGTCGTACGTACAGAAGACTGTTAATGTCTAATGCTTTTTGTGTTGTGTTAATGCCGCCATTTCCTTCTTTTGACCACAATTAACTTGGGAATCTAGCTCTCTTGAGTAAGGATAAATTTGAATTTGATTATTTGGCTTTTCTGTCCAAAAATAAACGCAAATGCTCGAACGTCAGAAAAAAATTCCTGATTTTGATAATATGGCTTATTTACACTATCGAAGCTTCAATAACGGACAAAAAATTCTGTCCGGGTCAAGTTTATGTTGTGGCTCTGGGTGGGTGTTGGTACGCCTAGGCACAGTTCTGACCGCGCCAGCCGCCTGCGCTCTCTACCATCTCCGGTCTGTTTAAAGTGTTCAAGTCACGCGACGCAGGTGGGGTGAGGAGTAGGACGTGAGTGTGCGGTAGATGCTGTGCATGTCCTATACCACCGTGAAACAAATTCCATGAAAGTTACTGCCCCACGCCTCCATGTTCTGAGTCTCACGGTGACCTCGTCGGATACGACAGTTGTAGGGTTAGTAGACGGCAGCGGCAATGGTGGCGGACAAACTAGAAAACAATCTTCTTTATATGACAGTCCGTAAATACCTCAGTAGTATTTGTGAGCAGCTAAACTTCCCGCAGAAATATTCCAATCATCTTACCTTTACTATGGGACCTATGAGGTGATTGCAAATCACATTCATGTACGCATTAGTCGAGTCTAAGGGAAAATCGAGCATTTTTGAGTATTTCACGAGCTGACTTCAAGATCTCTTAAGAAATTCAAGGAGTTCAGATGATCGACCGTTGCTGGGACCTGACCGTGAGGTTGCAATTTATGTCTCCAATCTAGGGAACTGCAAGCAGATGGACCGCGACCAGTTTTGTTGGGCTATACTGATTAAGAAGTACTTAATAAGCAAAAAAGTATCGGTCCGTAGAGATTATTTACGAACTTGCAGTAGATCAGTTTATTCAAGCTCTAAAGCTCAGACCGAGAATTTTATGTGTGAATGTTTGGGCAAAGTCCATCAGCCACATCGCGTAATCGCGTAGTATTCATTAGCTGCCGACATACAGTTAGTAATTTGCTCTAGAGTAAAGTGATACCATACTACCCGCAGAGGTACTAGTTAAAAGTCAACACAGGCGGGTTTCACCGATATTCTGCCGCTGGAACCTTAAATACTCGTCTCCTATTCATACGGTTTCTTTGTCATAACTCAATGGTAGAGTGCCGCGTGGGAATTTGAGATGAGTAGTTAAACCTCGGCTTTTAAGATACGCGTTTTGGGTGTAAGTAATAACCTATTTGCAAATTTCATTTCTGAAACTTCAAAAAGAATTTATTCCTTAACGTGCCTCATTCGATTACGCCATGCGTCCGATAATCGGATATTTTTCTCCAAATGAAGGCGACAATATGTGGGTAGTTGTGAAACGTAAAAATCCATGCGGATGCCCCAAGGCGTTGGTCACCCCTCC